AGTAACTCAAAACTCATAAACAATTTGAGATATCGATTATAGTATGTTATTTTTAAAGGTATTAGCTTATCAAAATATGAAAAGAAATATATTTTTTGCTATTGCTATTGCTCTTAATAATAATAAAAATAACAACACATTTTATATATTTTTTTTTTGTAATTTTTATATAATTATATATTTTATGTAGTGAGTGTGAAAATTTCATATGCCTTTATACCATCCATTATTTTTCAATTTAAAGTCTTACAAGTTTTATTTTGGCTAAGAATTTTCACTACGTGGTTCAGCAACCAAATGAATTTACATGCATACATATTTATATGAATAGAAGTAGATCGTATACACTTTTACAAAATTACACATATTATATACGAGTATATGTATGTGACTATCAGACATTCGTGGGTGCACCAATTTGATAATTTTCACATAGTCAGCGCAGGCGAACATACAATTACACACGTATRTTTGTATGAGTGTGAGTTGCTGCCAGACTTATGTTCATATAACGAGTAAATGTTATTTCGCTTTCACTTTCGTTTCGTGTAATAAAACATTTTAATTTGGGAATTTCGTTTATTATTAACTGCGAGATTGTTGAATGTAGAATAATTGTGTTAATACATTACTATATTATAGTTATGCTAGGGTGATGTGAATTGAAATTACAAATATTTATTCATATATCGTCACCTAAAATGCAAAATAACGTAACATCACTTTTCATAAGGTTACAGGCGAAGGAAAAACGTTATATTAGAAACCACTCACAATGAAACAAAATATGATTTTTGGTTATGAAATGGTTATATATTGGTTATGAAATGGTTATATCGGGCAGCGGAAGCTGAAAATTTTATGCTACATACATACATACATAGTAAATCGTAAGCAATAAAAAACTCAATTTGGAATTTTTTGTTGAAACGTTGTTTTGCAATTTAGGTGACGATGTACATACATATGTACATATATTTCTTTATTATAATTTGTTCGTGAAATATAAATCTGTGTAATAAAATATGCATAATATAATTAAATATCTATAMAAGTTGCCAAGTGTGGTTTTGAAAGAATTTTAAGGTTATTATGCGTTTTAGGAGTGAAGATCTGAAGWTGAACTATAGGCCATATTAAGGGAGCTTGGTCGTCTTACATATATACCATCAACGTATACCAGTTCCTCAGTTTTGAGTTGTCGATCTTAAATTTTGCACACTCAAGAAGTTGATAATTTGTCGCTATCCTTGATGTCGGACGACTGTAATATACGCTCCCATTAGCAACTGATTTTTTATTTTACGAGATATTTTCATGCAATTCGGTAAAGAATATTGCCTAAAGCTGCCATATAAACTCATCGATCAAAATTAAGCCCTTGTATAAATAACTGTTTTATTATTCGACAAGATATCTTTACGAAAATGCTTCTTCTTCTTAACTGGGGTAGACACTTCTTAAGCGAGCTTAAGATTATTGTCTAAAGAACCACAATCTCATACAACCTGATCGTTCAAAATCAACATAAAGATATTTTTACACTCTTTTAAATTATAAGATTCATATATTCGTGATTATATTCTTCTCTTGGGTATATTACCATGCTAGCTTTTGATAATATATTTAAAGATTTCGAAAAGTCAAAAACTAATAGAAAAAGAAAATGTGGTTTTTTCAATAACTTAATGGCAGCACTCTATACGCTTACATACAAATACCAGCGCCATAACACTGCCCTTTACATATGTACATGTGTACTATATATGTGCATACATACTTACATATAGTAAATGCGCCCGCTGGCTTGTTCGTTGATTTGGTTCAGCTTTGACTCAATCGTCATGTGCCGCAATATAATCGCATTCGTATAATAATGACAACAAAGAAATCATTATGTCGCGCTGCGCTTGCATGTCTGAATTATGCCGCTGTTCGCAGCGCGCCGCCCTCAGCGSSAGCTCTTCTCCCCTTTTATACTGTACAGTGGTGACATTAGCGCTTCATCGCTTAAATTTTGTTCGCGTTTTCTTTGCTGCCTTTTTGCATTCACATTCACATAATCACTTCTTATTGTTGTTGCTGCTGATGTGCTGCTCATTGTTATCATATGTTGTCAGCGCAAATCTTTGCTATTATTATTGTTACTCTTCTTAATATTGTTGCTCCCTTTTCAATAGCCATCGCGYTATAGTTACAGTATGTCAACAACAAATTTTAAACCCATTATACATATATTGTTATAATATGCGTACTCTCGAAATTTGTAACAGAAAACTGTTTTGAAAATATTCAGGAGAGACTAATATTGAGACATATAGGTGTGTGTGTGTGTATGTATGCGTAGGTGCTCACACGCACACACGTGCAGCCATTTCGTGATGGTCTGTTGCTAGAAAATGTCCCCGCTTGCTAACACTTCTACATGTAAAATACAGCGTTGAGGGTTTGTAGGAGTAAATACAGTGAGTCAAAGGTGATATCMACATGTACTTTGAATACATTTTAATGATGTGCATTTTGAGGCATCAAAAGTTAGGTTAATGATTTGAGTCTAAATCTATTGCGGTTGATCTTTTAGAGTTTTTGAGAGCCGTTTAATTTTTTCGTTTAATTTTACTCACGATGCTCATCAAATGCTTTTCCACTCAAGTATTTGCGTTCTCATAAAATAGACGCCTTAAGAGGAATACTTAGCGTGGCAGGAAAATTGAGTGATTTTTAGGAATAAAAAAAACTATTGAATCAGGTATATATAGTATTTAAAAAATTGTAGGTTAT